GGTTCCTGAGAATAGCTGAATAAAAACACTGAAGTGCTAGATGAAATGTAGGCCTGGTCACCATCATGTTCATCATATTCAGAAATCCTGTTTGATGGAAATATTTTCTCCAACAATAGAATACAGAGAGGTCTTATGGAACTTGCTGTCCTACCCTCACTGAGAGCACTCTGGTAGGATGGGGAGAAATCTGAGCCAGTCACTACTTCTGCCGCTTCTCAGGACATGAAAAAGCTGGGTTGTTACCTGGCTTCTCTGAAATACTTTCCTCACATGAAAAATAGATCTAAAGTCATCTAATGAACACCTGTTGGGAATAATTTCCAAGGTTTCTTCCACATTTAAAAGGTAATAATTATGACAGGATGTCCAACAGAAAGTCCAAATTATATTTAGGAGCCTTCCCCCCATATTACTTTACATTTTTATTATATATAATTAGGACACTCATAAATACCAATTAAGAGTCCATCATGAACAACTGGTTGTAGATTATATAAAAGAAAAACTGTGTTTATTCCCAGCAAACTTAACATTAAGGCAAATATTTTATACTTGCATATACCTCTACACATATACCTATACTACATAGTGTAACTACATCATCTGTATAAATGTAGATAAGTGTTTATTAAATAGCTAACAAGTAACCAATGACACATATGCATTAATGACAACAATCAGAAAAGGATCTAAGTGCAAAGTGGCCAAAGTGGACATGTTTTACAGATGGCTAATTCTTCAATTCTAGGAAACACATGTTCTGTCTACATCTATGCCAGATTTTATGTCATTTGCCTTTGCACTATCAGTTAAAAAACCATGGTATTAATGTACTTAAATCCGAAAGATACTAAACTGCTTCAGAATTTGAAAATTAACTATTTGATAATATAAAGAACTCAACTGATTTTTTTTTCTTTATTGATTAAGGTATTACATATGTGTCCTTATTCCTCCCTTGCCGCCCCCCCAACCTCCCGCTCATGCCCTCACGCCACTGGTGTCTGTGTCCATTGGTTATGATTATATAAATGTACACAAGTCCTTTGGTTGATCTCTCCCCCACCCTCCCCTACCTTCCCTCTGAGGTTTGACAGTCTGATCAATGGATCTCTCTCTCTCTCTGGATCTGTTTTTGTTGATAATATTTTAGATAATGATAATGGTGTTTTGGTTAGTTTTTCAAAATTACTTACTGAAATAATTATGGATGAAATAATGTGACCTGCTTCAAAAACAATTCAGAATGATGGAAGGGATAAAAACAAATAAGGGTATAGATAAGATTGGCTATGAGTTGATCATTGTTGAAACATAGGAGGTTATTATATTACCCTTTCTGCTTTTAAGTATGTTTGGAATTCTCCGAAATCAAATAATAAACCCCTTCTGGTGTAAGCTCAAGAGTACACCAATCTTCCAATTAACAAAGCTCCTATGTATTAGGGCCAGCCATGTTGTTTATATTGGTAATGTTTGCTGACAACAAAAGAGGGTACAGGTAAACATGTTCTTCTGAATGTCAACATCTGACTAACAAATTTAGAAGGTTTACATTGTCTTATCATGAAACTTGTAGAGTTAAGTTTAACGGGCTGATTGTTTATTTTTTACTTCCTCATCAAAAGACCAACTTATGAAAATAACTAGGTAAAGCTTGTCACTAACAAATGGGTCCAATTTATTTTACATTATTTTAATTATTTCACAAGTGATGAGCAAATTTTACAACAAGCTTGATCAGAATAAAATTGAAAAGTAGGACTCTGCCATTTTCCCCCCCAAAATACGGATTTTAAGCAGTTCTGGATAAATACATGTAGTAAAACATAACATTAAGACGATGGAAGGAATCATCTGGTAAAAGTCGCTCTCCATTTATCTTCAAGAAAAATTCAGACCTTTGGCAGTGTAACAATAGTTATCAGATATTTCAGATATGACAATAAAGTACATATAATTTCCAATCTGAAATAGTCTCTATGTTGCCCTCATAATATACACCCATCCCAGAAATTCAAATATTTTCATAATCAAATTATACAGATGGTTTCTTACAGGCATAAGCAGGAAAATACTTTATCAGATCATGTAACTTGCTTGTAATCTGAAGAATATCATCACTGTATTTAGTGCAGTGAGGAATGAGGTGCTATTTATTGAAATCTATTTCTCCATGCCTCTTTATCTGGATAATTTCTATTTGTCATTTGGGTTCAATGGAAATATCACCTCCTTGAGAAAACTTCCTTCAATCTCCTCCTTACTAGATTAGAGTAGAATTCTGTACTCCCCGCTTCATAACACTTTTCAAAATTATATTCATGTAATAAATACATGATTTTAAAAAAGATATGTCTCTCCCACTAGACTACAAGGTCCAAGAGGTCAGAGGTCATGTCAGTCTTGCTCACTACTGTATTTCCAGTCCCCGGTGTTCTAATTATCAAGCCTGGCTGTACCTGGATCACCTGGAAGCTTTATAAAAGACTGATACCTGAACTCCACTACTAGAGGTTCTACTATAACTGGTAGAAATGGGGTGGAGGACAAAAATTGATAGTTTGTAAAAACACCAAGGGGATTCTGATGGGCAGTCAAGGCAAGGATGGGATACCTTTTTTTCTGCCATTTAGATATTTATAACATCATCATTCCAGGGCCATAGAAAATTATCAACTTAAAAATTAGCCTGCTATATTTGATCAAACATTTAATTAACTCACCCCTAATGTAGGGCCAGATCAAATGATTTTGTGGACATTCCCCATTCCTGGTATAGAGTCTTGCCTAACAGAATAGATTCAATAGATAAATATGCAAGGTCTTCTAAATACATCCAAAGACTATGAATTATGTATATCATCTGTTGTCATTTCTACTTGTTAAAACTACAAAACAATTAATGACATTAACAGGAATTTCGATGTGGCATCAAAACAGAGATATTTGGGTTTTCCTAAAAATCAAACTAGAAAAGAACAGAATCAGCTGGAAAGTACTCCAATTCATGTCAAAATTGTGCTATAAAGAAATAATTGTGACCTCTTCATTGTACTTCCTTCTGTGCCAGGACTGTTCTCATGTTACTTCACTTACTCCTGGAAACCTTATGAAGTATCACTATGCCTTCTTTTATATAATCTATTAGTCATCTCAGTCCACTGCCATTGCATTTGCCAAGGTCAACAATACCAGTGTTAAATCTGCAGGACACCTCTTTATCTTATTCTTTTAAAATCCTTGCTGGTCACTCCTTTCCTCTTTGCTTTTGCGATATTATGTCCTCATTCCCCTCCTAGCCCCCTGAATACACCTTCTTCTTCTCCTTTGCAGGTTGCCCTGTAAATAGCCCTCCTCAAGATTCTATCTTAAGTTTGCTCCTTTTTTTAATTTTTGTGGGTTAAAGCATCAACTCCCAGGAACCACCTTTATGAAGATCATATTCAAATACTTACTCTTTAAATATCTATTGAATATCTTCACTTCATGCCCAAACAGAAGGGAAAAATCATTTTTCCCCTCTAGGATTCCCTATACTAAATGGTGCCATCATCCTAACCAGCTGCCAAGGTCGTATTCCAGTTTCTGCACAGCTCTGGAATCCATCCCTTCTCCACATCCACACCTCCATGCCAGGCGAAATGCCTGAATTGCCACAGCAGCCTTCTAAGCAGCTTCACTGCTCCAGGCTTACATCCATTCACTACAGGGAAGACAGCCGTCTTTTAAAAAATAAACCTCATTGGGTCTTTCCCTTGTTTTGAACCTTTAACACATTAAGTGCCCTGTCAGTCACTGGTGACTGCCACTATACTTTCCATCCAGAAGACAAAACCCCCAGGAACCACCTTTATGAAGGCTGGGTGCTTAACGTGTTAATGGCTCCTACAACACCTTCTGGATCAAGTTCAAATTCCCTGAAGCAGCTAACAAAAGTCCACCCAGAACCCAGCGCCTCCTAACTTGAGCCACTCTAATCATGCTCTAAGCTCCAGCCACACAGGATTCAGCAGCCTTCTTTTCCTGAAATGTTTTTTATCTATTTCAATCAGCCAACAAAGACACCCCACAGATCTCAAAACATGTGGCATTTCTTTAAATCTTAAAATGTCCCTTCGTGACCTCAAAATTCTGGATCAAATGCTGTTCCTAAGTGCTACTACAGCACTTGGAACTTTCCAGGCTTAGAAAGTAGGACACTGTCTTCTACTAGTCACTTTCCCTGTCCCTTTCCCTTGCTATTTTGGAAGTCTCATGTGAGCCAAGCTCTTGTCTGTTGTACAGACTGCTATGTCCTGAGCACCCAGCAGTGGCTGGCACATAGCATTCAGGACATTAAATGCTTGTGAACGCAGCTGTGACTTCTTCCTTCAAACTTACCTCAGAGTCTCTGCAAAGGTTGGTCCTTTTTTCAGGCTGGAGTGGGCCCAACAGGCTACTTCAAATCCTCCCAGCTCTTAGCTAACGTGGAGCATTTTCTAAGACACCCTCCCAAACCAGCCATCTAAAGCATTCTCCTCAGTTCCCTTCCCTCATAGTACCATTATGTTTTCTTTGTATCACTTGGCAAACATTTGTATTTGGTTAATTACATGCTTTCTTCCAGGGACCATGTGTGTTTTATACTATATTAGCATAGAGGCTGGTACACAGCAAGATTTAACATATATTTGGAAAAAATAACAAGTGGACTGATAGCTTTCATGAAGGGCTAATATCATTTCGTACATCATGTTGCTTCTCACAAAAGTTTAACAGTTCCCCTAAACAAAATCTTTGTCAATACTGCCAGTCAACCATAACAATAGGGATAAAGTTAAAGAATTTTCTGTTCTGTTACTCAGGTATAAAGCTAAGCAGGGGTAAACAAATAAACAAACAAAAACCACAGATACACATATCAAGAAAAATAACCAATCGTTCTTTTCCTTTAATCATTATGTGTTAAAGTGAAAGTACGAAGTGGTATATGCACTGGAACAGAGTGGCCTTGCCTTTCAGGTCTTGTATGTAGCCCTCTTTGCAGCTGTGCATGAGCTGAAGGATCCATCTGTGCTGAGCTCCGATACACTGCCAAGCAGGGTCACCCGGTGCATGAAGGTCAGACAGGTACCTGAAAAAGCAAGGTCAAGGCTGACCAAGTAGTCTTCCTCTACACAAGCCATAAATAAGGATAAAAGAAAAGCTAGCATATTTCAAAATAATCACATTTTTTAAGAAAACCTAAAATTTTATCAATTAGTAAAGCAGTTGTCAGTATTAGTCTCTAATATTTAGTTCTCTAAAATTAGTCTCTAATATGAAATACATCCAAATTTCTTTTCATGAAGTTAACAAACAATAAAGCTATATTTTATAAGACTAGGACTTTATGAAAAGAAATAAACATGACAGAGACCATTTACGATTATCCAATATACTTAGGGAGAACTTACCTTTATATGTATTTACACTGACTTCCCAGAGTGCTGCTATTTAGTTTTGTCCTTACATAAGCACAGGTGGGAGCCAGCAGAGGAAACCCGGGGAATATTTTTTTGATTTCAGTTGGTTTTTATTCCTTTCTGGCCTGAAACATAGCCACTAGATGGCACAATGACACTATTTTCTAGACAGTCTAAACAAGGGTCAAATGAAACTTAAAGCCATTTTATTATATGAAGAGATTTGGTGACAATAAGCACTTACCTCTAAAGTCTAAATCCTAATCCATGACTCAGAATATTTCTCTAGACAGCATATATGGGAATTTTTCATAGATTTAATGTAGTTCTTAAAATATTTAAAGTCTTTGTACCTAAAATATCTAAATCCAGATGGACAACTGAAATACATTTAAGTTGAAAAAAATCTGCTAAATATCATTCAAGATTTGGCACTCTGCCCTAACAAAATAAATAAATACAAGTTAAATCAAATTAAATCAATCCCATAAGCTGAATTTATTGTCTTAAAATTACTCTTAGACCATAAGCTATCTGTTGTCTTAAGGTTAAAGATTTTTGTTCAATGACAAATTTTAATTAATGGTTACAAGCTGTGACCTCTAGCCAAATCTTAATAACTCAAGAGATCATCTGATGCCTCTCTCCCATTTCCAGGACGGTATTTCCTTACTCACAAACATCTTAATTAGTGGCTAATTAAAGGAAAAACTTTTTATAGTAAGTTAGCAATGAATAAAATGTTGAGATGAAATCTGACATCACATTTAGGACCTCTCCGCGCTCACCCTGACCTTCCAGGCTAATGGAGACAGCCTGGTTTCTGAGAAGAGCTGGGCATTTATTTGTCCTGCTAAGGAGCCCCTTAAACAGCATGGCTCACACTACAGCAGGCTGCCCAAGAGACAGCCCTGAGAGTTGGCCATTCTCCTTCTCTCTGACTCTATTTACAGTCTACAAAGGTGGGTCTGTAGGAGAAAGTGACAAATCAGTTAATAGCATTATTAGAAGAAAAACCACAATCTAGCAAATTACATTTAGCTTGGCCTAAATAATTCATTTCAAAGATTTCAAAACCCAATCAGATTCTTTTCTCATAAGGCTTTCCTCTTTTATTGACTAGAATATAAATATGATAAATAGTATGTTGCTTCATTTCTGAAAAAAACATGTGATTTTATTCTTTCTTGCTAGGAAGACTTTGTCGGACAAATTCGCATTCTCCTCAGATAGGTTTATTTCACCTCCAAAAACTTCTGCAACACTTTCTCCTGACACTTTCACTCATATAACAACCTCAGATTTGTATTAGTTATAAAATACTAGTATAGGAATATCCTTTTAGAAAATAGTTGCTTCCCTTTAATTTTTTAAAATTTTCTTTCTTTCTTTCTTAAGGTATTACATATGTGTGTCCTTATCCTCCTATTGCCCCCCATCCCCCGCTTGTGCTCCCCTAGTGTTTGTGTCCACTGGTTATGCTTATATGCATGCATACAAGTCCTTTGGTTGATCTCTCCCCCTTACCACCACCCACCCCTACCTTCCCTCTGAGGTTTTGACAGTCTGATCGATGCTTCTCTGTCTCTGGATCTGTTTTTGTTCATCAGTTTATGTTGTTCATTATATTCCACAAATGAGTGAGATCATGTGGTATTTATCTTTCTCTGACTGGCTTATTTCGCTTAGCATAATTCTCTCCAGTTCCAACCATGCTGTTGCAAATGGTAAGAATTCCTTCTTTTTAACCACATCCCTTTAATTTTTAAACTTCTAAATAGGAACACAGATGATCCATTACAAGAATCTTTCTTGAGTGAGAGAAATCAATAAGCATTTTTTTGTTGGATAACTTTTAAAATTGTAAGTCTCTTTAATATAGTCACTAGGTCCTTGCAAAATTTAATGACAATCCTCTTTCTATTGTCTTATTAATGGGTATTACATTAAAAGTTTTATAAAGAAAAACATGTTCTCTCAGGAATTCTAGTGTTTTAGTTTAAAAATACAACCTGTGCTAGGCTTTTTCCTTGGTTAAATGATGTAATCCAGTAAGTTTCTTTTTTTCTTTTAGTAATAAGTAGATTAAAAATAAGTACTACTTTCATTTCAAAAATATTTGTTTAGAAAATGACAGTTTATTGCCATTTCTTTTAAAGCTATGTATTAAAGGACACTTTGTAAAAGACATTTTTAAAGGAAAAAAAGTTAAAATATGTTAATGATAATGAGCATAAGCTCAATATTTTAAAAATTAAGACGTTTTTAACCCCATTCTGACATAATTTTTAACAATTACCAGGGATAGGTTCATACTGACATGCAACTTTCCTTCTTGCTAAAAAAATGAAGATCAAGACAGAATAAGAAGAGTAAAAATAGTGAGTAAAAATCTCTATTTTAATTAGATAAAATAAAAAACAAAAGACAATACAGTAATAATCTGATTTTCACCCATATCATGTATAACTGCAATTATTAAAGCCAATAGAGATGTATTTTTGTTGATGATAAAGCTGTCTCTACCCCATGAGGTACTCATAGTACCTGTCATCATAGATTCCAAAGTCCAACAGATATCTGACCTGAATCTTGTTATTATTAAAAAGAATAAGAGAACTGCTCAATGTCTTCTCAAAACATCAAAAATAAAATAGTGATTAAAAAATAAACAAACTACTGGACATTGTTACTGACATTTTTGTTCTTTATCCTTTAAAGTAACAGGTTGAAAGCATTTAAATAGACGATTTAAAAGAATCTTTTAAAAAAATATCTACCATCTTTTAACAGTCATAAGAACTGTTAGTTATCTATATATAGTAATTCACTAGATAAAGAAATCATACTCAATACGTTTAACACATCACTATCAGCAAATTTAATAGAATAAATGTCAACAATAAAATAAATACAAAGCATAATTAGAGAACACAGATAAAACACTAATCAAATGTATCCTGGACAAGACAATTAACATTCCTACAACTCTGTTTCTTTATAGGTGTTTAAAAAAAAAAAAGTACCTAGATAACATCTGTAGTTTATTTCTACAAGCCAAAAAATATCCAAATACATTCTTTCTTATGAAGGTATCCTAGAGAAAAGAAAAGATAGGCTTTGAAAGCAGACATATAGGAGTCCTAGTACTAGCCATGTGTGCTGAAATAGCAATAAAATCTGAGGTGCCCTGGCTGGGTGGCTCAGTTGGTTGGAGTGTTGTCCCATACACCAAAAGGCTTTGGGTTTGATTCCTGGTTGGGGAACATATCTAGGTTGAGGGTTCCATCCTCAGTTGGAAGCATATGGGAGGCAACTAATAGATGTTTCTCTCACATCAATGTTTCTCTCTCTCTTCCCCGCCTTTCCCACTCCTCTCTCCCTCTCTTCCTCCCTCTAGAATTAAAAACAAAACAAAACAAAACAAAACAGACATATCCTCGGGTGAAGATTAAAAAAACTATCTGAGGCTCAGTCTGCTAACCAGTATACTGGGTATAATACACATGCCCCAATGTGGTGGCTGGGAGGATTAGAAATGATAAATAGCACATCCAGCATGGTGCCTGGGCACACTGCAGATTAGAGGTAGTGGCAGCAATCAATTTTAGTATTCTCTACTGCAAAAAGTCTCCTTTCCCTTTCCTGTTGGGCAACACCAATGCTGACTATGACAATGGCTCATACTCCTACTGTGCTCCTGCATCACTAGAAACAAGGAGGGCTGCATGTGGACCCTTGTACCTGCACAAGTGAAAACAAAGCAGCAGCTTTCAGACCAGACCATCTTTCCAGACCTGGGAATTATTTTCAATGGTCACATACTAACAACAGCCAAATGCATAAAAATATGTAGTCTATAATCACTTTATAACTACCTAATATTCAATAAACTTCACTGAGAGAGAGGGTATTTGGTTTGAAAAATAATAGCTTATTCTGAGAACAAAGGTCACACTCAAAATAGGACAGCAGAAAATAAAGTTATAGTTTTAAATTATGGATATAACAGGTTAAATTTATATGCTTTGCCTCCAAATCCTGATATAAACACTATATATATATATGCATATATATATGTATATATATATATGACATACAAACACACAAACACACAAACACACATACACACACACACACACACAATTTATTGACTACTTATTATGTGCCTGGTGCTATATTAAATTCTTAAATGTATTCTTGATTATCTTTGCAACTGAGACACAGATTGTGTTAATATGTCCATTTCAAAGATTAATAAACTGATAAAAAAAAACTCAAGTTACCCAAAGTGAACAGCTAGTTCCCATTAAGCTACACTGCTTCTTTCTATGGCCTTCTTGTCATACCATGTGATGTCCATCATTTTCAATTATTACTGCTACTATTTTTTTTAAGTTCCAGACTTTCTTTTCAACACTAACACCTTTCAGAATTTTCTTTACTGCTGAACTATTGCCCACTCTTGTAGCATGGAGAATTTCCTAATACAGGGAGCTCCTCCTGCCTGTGGCCTGTGGGTGCCCACCTGGTACAACCATTCTGCTAGATTAGGTAAGCCTTTGTTGAGCAGGAGGAAGAGGTGACTAAGCAATGAGGCTACTTTTTCTTTCCCCAAATACATAGGAAGGATTTTCTTGCCCTTAAAGAGTGAGCACTTGCAAATATATTAGTATACAAAAGAGTTTTGGTGTTCTGCAGTAGGTACTTCTAAGGGTTTTCCCTTTGATTATTCCATTAATCTCCTAATTTTCCCCAAATTAGCTTTAAGAGTTAGATGACATATCCAGTACTATACAGATATATGTGATTTGTGAAAATCCTTGCAAAATTTTTACCTTATATAACGTTTCTGGTCATGTAAGGTCGATGGTGTCTCAAGCAATTTGTCCAGAAGTAATTCTCTTAAAGCTTCAATCCGTGTTTCTACTTCAGCATAATCTATTTTTAAAAAGGTACAAATATACAAGATTTACAGGATGGAAACTTAAGATCACAGTACAGACAGTAGAACAGTGGCTGCCTTGAGGGTTATAATGGTGAATTGAGAAGAGGCTCAAGGGAACATTCTGGAGAGATGAGAACATTCTATCTTGGGTGTGGGTTACAGCGGTGTGTGCATTTAACTTAATATAAATTAACTATAAGAAAAATAAAATCAAGTTTTCTGAGTCCTTATGGAGTTGGGATTTACAAAGTTAATAAAGCCCTGTGATATTTCTCCTAGTTGATAAGGCATTACCATAAGGTATTTTAGGCTTTTCTTATTGTTTTATTTTCTGTACCTGGCATTAGAGATCATTTCAAAAGTTGTTTTGTTTACTTTAATGTAGAGTTAGAATTCAGAAATACATCGATCTTTCTGAAGAGGGAAGATTAAAATGTAGGTTCCCATTTCTAAAAAAATATCTATAATTGACTCTTTCCAATGAAAAATAATAATATAATGATGGTCAATAAGTAGCAAAGAATATCTAAGTCTAACCAATCCTATAGCTGTGGTTGCTCATTTTCACTACATCTTAGTAAGAAAAGCCGTATGTTATTTTTGAGTTAATAGTTTTACATTTAAAAAGATCACCATATCAATAAAAACTAAAAAGGATGTAACACTCTTTGCAGAATACATCCCACATTCTTTCTGTGAAAGGAAAGGAGAAGATCTAAAAGCAATAACAAGCCTTACATTTCTTGAAAACTTGCACCTCTGTTTTTCCAAAGAGTGACTTGGCCTTTTCATAGTCATTAATAACCACATCATAATCACCCTTTAAAAAAAAAAATATTTTTGAGGCTGTCAGCAAAGTACAATGAAGACATATGGTTAAGATAAAAAACATCTTAACAACACTTTAAAATTTATGATATCTATAACCATCAGTATATAAATACATACTCTACCTTTTGAATATTCCTTTCAATATTTAAAGGAAGGTTGAAAAGAAATTTAAATCGCTGGAGGACATTGAGTGCATTTCTAGTGGAATCTGCCTTGTCCTTTCGACCTAATACTTCTTGAAATAATGTATCTGCAGTATTACTTGCTCCTATTTTAAAAGAAAAAATTCAAACTTAGATAAAAATTGATTTTATTTAGAAAAGTATAATTGGACAAATGAAATAAAATGTCAGATTTTTATTGAAGCTTTACACTAAAACTCAATAGACTTTTTTTCAAACATTAGGTATAAGGGAGATCTTTCATGGTTTGCTAAAATACAATTTCCATTTTGCCTACTAAGTCTTTTCTTATGTTAACAATGGTATCCAATTAAAAATAAGCATATTTACCAGGCTCACATAAATTCTTCAATGTGAACCTACATTTTATTTTAGTCACTCTTCTAAATTTTATAGCAATTATAGGCCAGTTGGATACTTCATTAATTCAGACAATAGGTTAAACACACACACATATATACATGTGCACACTCACGTACATTAGTTAAGTTCCATGGAGTCAATATCTACATATGTGGTAATACACAAAACAAGAAAAGTATTTTACAGAAAAGTGTTCAAAAGAAATATTTCAGAACCAATCCTATTTCTTGCTAAAATTATCTCTTTGTATAGCAGGCACAAAAAATTACATAAACATTAAAATGACAAATTTTAACATATCATTAATCAATATTTCTTAAATCAGCTAATTCTTATATTATACACAAACTAACCTAAAAGACCTCAAACTATATGAATCACCGTAATGAAAGAGTTGCTTTATCTAAAGTGAAATTTACTGTGTTCAAAAATAGGTAAGCTTTTTCAACTTATGAATTATTTTTAATTAGCCACAAGGGGAGAAAAAGAATAAAGTGTTTTCAGCTGTTTGATCAGTGCACATAAAAAGTTTCTACATTATCTGGTCTAGTGACTATACTTTAAGCAAGATGAAAAAATTACCTCAGCCTCACTGGGTGGCTTGCATGCTACATTCTCCACTCCACACTGTGGGTGGGCTGATCCTGTTAGTCATCTTTGTAACATAATTGTTTTATCTAAATATTGTTTAAATTCTGTTGAAATTATAAAAGCCTAATATAAAAACTTTGTTTTGTCAAATAGCTGCTTTCATCACATTCTACTTAATGTCCAATACTAAATTTCTGCTATACGATGAGAAAAACATACTCTCTTCTTGTCACCAAACCACATGCTGGTGGCTAAAAGAACATTTCAAATCTGATTAGAGTTAAAACTTTTTCCTTCAATGAAAATTATTATTTATCATATAAAAATATAAACTTCATGAATTGAGGCTAAATGAATAGATATATGAAAGAGATTAAATATTTTTAAAAGGTTGATTACTTATGTGTGAGCTGTGGATACTAAATCCCTAAGCACTTTTTAAATATACAATGAAGAAATTTACAGCAAAAAGTATGAGAGTTCAAAATTAGATTTTTCTCATCTTATTTTAAAGATATTAAAAGATACAAACTAACAATTTTAACTCCTCTAAAAAGCATGAAAAGCAAGTACAGGTAGAAAATTCACTAATAATTAAGTAAAATATAAACATTTTATAGAGAAAAATTTGTAGGCAGATATTGTAAATTATAATTTCTATACAAAAATGTATGTATATGTGAAGAATTTTAATTTATGCACACAAAGAAATTGTGAATTATAATCTTAATTTATAGGTAATTTCCATCCATAAATTTTTATTCTGTTATGAATTTTACTGCACTCACAATAAAATATTGGGAGTTCATAATTCTTTAATAACTGGATAATCATATCTAGTAATAAAATAAATGAGAGCAGTGAAACTGAGATTTGTGCAAGCAGATAAAAATTACCAGCAGTTCACAAAATGCATTTTATGCCTATGTTCTCTAGAGCCACTAAGAAAATGAAACTGGGTGGGAAACACACAATGTTACATTATAAAGTTGTATACCTGAAATTTACATAATGTTATTAATCAACTAGAGGCCTAGTGCATGGAATTTATGCATGCGTAAGGTCCCTAGGCTGGCTGGCTGTCGGGGCCAATGAGGTTCCCTGCCCCCTGCCTTCCTACCTCCTCCTTCCCTCAGTGCTCTGCAGCCGCCTCTAGTCGCCCGCCATGTTCCACACTGCCCCCTGCTGGTCAGCACACATCACAGCAAGCAATTGAACTCCTGGTCTCATGGTTGAACTCCTGAGGGGACACTTTGCATACTAGCCTTTTATATATAGAGATGTTACCTCAATACATTAACATTGTTTTTAAATAAAGAAAACAAAACTACTAAACTTAGCAGTGTCCACACGCAAATGACACCACAAATAAGCCAATTAGCCATCTTAGAACAATCCCCCGTGGTAGCAATCCTACACATCCTCACCTATACATCCAACTTTTAAGGCACCTGGCAGGGGTTTGAACATCCAGGGTGTAACCATAGAACAAATCTAATGGAATGAAACAGCCACGTAAAATCATAACTTGGGTCTTGCAGTTTGCATAATGAATCCTGCTCTTATAACTACCAGCCCTGGGCAAGTCTAGACCTGGAAATTGGTCCTTTCTCAACCTTAGCTCCCTGGAGAGTGGCTGTCATTGTCTCAGTTACAAATGTACCCCAAGAACTAACAGCAATGCTGCTATAATAACACTGTGGCTGCCACCATTACAGTGGGCTGACTGAACAATAAAATTTTCTTCAATGTAAGATAGGACAACATGGATGGACTTTCAAGACATTATGAGAGTGAACTAAATAAGTCAGATACAGAGAAAGACAAATACTTCATGGTATAACAAAAATAGACTCTAAAATAGGTGAACTCATAGAAACAGAGAGTAGAATGGTGGTTAACAGGGGCTGAGGGTTAGGGGGCAGGGGGAATGGAGAAATGTTGATCAAAGTACAAACTTCCAGTAAGAAGATGAATACGTTCTGGGGATCTAGTTAATAATATTGTGTTATATACTTGAAAGTCACTGAGTAAATCTCAAATGTTCTCACCACAAAAAAAGAAACAGAATTCTGTGACATGATAGAGGTGCTAGCAAAAGCTAAGGCAGTAATCATACTGCAATATAAAAGTGTAGCAAATCAGCATGTTGTATACAATACTACATGTCAATTGCAGTTCAATAAAGCTGGGAGAAAAGATGGGAAGAAAAGTCACTGCAGCACTTCACGCTAACCAATCAAATTCATTCCTTCCCATTCACCTATATCTTTAACAATGAAAAAACACAACAAAAAATTTTGTGCCAGGAACTACTATCATATAGAAAAACTAGTCATGTAATTCTAATGCTGTCCTACAATTTCAAGCATGTCTGTTTAAAGCAAACATGCTTTCTCTTATTTTGAAGTGACTTACTGGTTCTTTTCATGGCACTGACACCTGAGACAGTATATCACAGAAGTGATTTTTAACCTGTGGTCTCTGCTTGATGTGAGTTGAGGGAATTGTGGGGAGGATGCAAAAAGTGCCCTACCCACAAAACACACACACATGCACTATATCCCAGGATTAGGCAAGTTAAATGAGATTAGGAAACATTAAAGTATCTGGTAATTTAAGGTAACTTAAAAATGTAGACCTAAATTCATAATAAAACAAGGACCACAATGAGACCTAACAACATATTTATTGTACGTGTCTCAGTTTCTGTAAAAAGACAGCAGAAAATGGTAAGACAGGTGGTCATGTATAATATAATGATATTACATGAACAGTATCATTGCCAATGGTTAATGCTTGTTTACAGAGCCATTTCGGATACTGGAATTATATAGCACCACATGGAGTACACAGAATGGAATCTTAAAGAGGGGACGTTGGCTCATACTACCCATCTCTTTTCAACTCCCATTCAGTGATGTCACGTTGGTAGCTTGAAATCAAACATGATGGGAAAATTTGCACATTGGAAATGCTAATATTAGGGTTAGTTTTCTTTTTCCTTTTTGGCATGCCAGTTGTTAAACAATTACCATTATAACAAGTTAAAAATCACTTCCTTATTCACAAACTTTACCCTGATATTCCTCAGTGTTTCAAGTCCTTAGCTTTCTTCTTTTAATTTCACGCATAGTACTTAAGTTGAAATTATTCAGTCCTGTTCATTGAACTACCATCTCTACACAGCTGAGTCCCAAATCTATATCTTACGTTACGTCTGTTAGTGTAAAACTAACCTTTACACATATTTTAACTACACATACAATAATTTTTTTTTTATGAATTCGCCCATCACAAAGAAGTCCTTTATTCTGAGCAATTCCAAAGATGAATACCTGTTTTCCTGGGGGAGACAGTTTAATCATTCCGCCCTCACTTATTTAAAGGGAAACTATGAGAGCATGTCTTGTGACACCCTATGGGACCAACTTAGTCCCTGAAGATTTCCCTTTGAATGAACCCTGACAGCAGAGCTGAGAAGGACAATATCAGAAGCACATCAGTTTTAGGGGGCTTGGAGCACAGGAATAGGACCCTGAGTCTAGGCAGATGGTTGGTCAGGCTTCATCACAGAGGACAGTGGAGAAAAGATTACTGGGTGGACAATCAACTCTTACATGCTTAGTTTAACCCCTTCCCCGGCAGAAACGTGTATACTCGTTTTCACAAAATGTTCTTTTTCAGTCGTCGACGAGTATACTAAGAAAATATGGTAAAAAAATATGGTTTATAGGAAGACGAGTTACAAACTGTTTTCATAACCAGCATCAAAAATACTATATAGAACCAAAATTAAAAAATTAGTCTGAAAAAGAAACGTTTTTAACAAAAAAATTGTTGGGGAAGGGGTTAACTGTCTTTGGGAAGATCTAAGGAAGTGGAATGAAAAAAATGAAGATCTCATGAAGGGAGAAAAAAACACGTTAGCATCTATGGGTCCTTTATAACCTAAAGGGAGATTGGAGAAGCCTTTGTGGGTGGATAAACATATACTACACATGTAATATCTAGCACTTACTCTATGCTAGGTGCTTGTCTTAAAAGTTTATATTAATTATTCTAAATTCTTATTCTGAAAACATATATTAATTGCAATACATTTAAATTTACTCATGTCCCTGTAAGATAAGCACTATATTTATCCCTATTTTATAGTGCAGGCAACTGAAAACACCGAGAGGTTCTTCAATTTGCTCGTTATGACATAGCTAGGAGGTGCTGAAAGAGAGAAAAAGATATTATTGGGTACAACCCTCAGGAATCTCAAACTCAACATGTTATAAATCAAACTGAATTTTTTCCTCTCTACTTTTCTCCTCATGCCCCAAACCTGCTCCTTCTTCCTCCATTTGTGGCCAAATATCTGGAAGTCATCACTGACTACTTCCTTTTTCTTCTTTTCACCTCAAGCAGTGACTGAATGCTGCCTTTCTCATATCCTTAACATCTCCCACCTGCCATTCACTCTACCTTCATCACCTCTGCCTTAATTAAGAATCCTCAGCACTTCACTCTTACAACTGTTCCTTCTACCTGGGCTTCTCTTTGTCTAACTCCCTTCTAATCCTCTGTCTATACAAAGGGCAATATGTTCTTTGAAAAGTTCTAACATCATTCCCTTACTGAAAATCCTTCAATAGCTCAGTGTTCAGGATAAAGACAAATCCCAAACCCAGTAGAAAGCTTTTCATGAGCAGACACTCTTCCATCTGGCAACCTCACCTCTCACTTCTGCACACCAGCCATGCTGGATCCTGGGTCTAGGAATGCAGTCCATCTCCTTTTTGAAACTGGTGCCTTCGTCACACTGTTTGCTGTGCCTGGGACAACCTGCATCCACTTAGCTGCCCACCCACCAACCTCTTCTGGCCTGGCTACTTCCAAATCCTTTTTTAAAACTCATGTGACCCTCCCCTGATATTCTCTCCACTCCACTTTTCAATTAGGTCTCCCTTGTGAAGACTCCAGATGTACCTCAGGCTTACCACCAGCAGAGGATGATCGCACCACAATCTATTCACCTGATTTTTGACTGTATTTTCCACTAGACTATACAGTCTGAGAAGTAAAGCCTAAGTCTAATCTTCATATTCCTGGGATAGAACTAACAGGTGCTCAATAAATGCTTATAGAGAAAGGACTAAAAATCTGCCTCTGAATCAGTGCTCAATACTCTTTCTACTTAGAGAGATGGTACTGGCCAGTAGAAGCCTTATTCTGTATGGTATGCAGTCCCGCACAAATGACTGTGCAGCTGAAACTGAATGCTGCCTTTCTCATCTCATTTTTTATCGTAAAATTTGCATGCATCAAGCACCTTTTCTATGCACTGACAAACTGTCATACTCCTTTCTAAGTTTATCCTTTGTACTTTCAATGCCATAGATTATCTCTGAGTGTTCCTTAGGCATTGCTTCCTGTGAACCATCTTCATCATCATTGTGAGCCAACCCCTTCTTTTAATATCCATTTCAGTAAAATGTGAGTTTATCTCTGGGAGACAAGGAGGCCACACAACTGCGCACTTTGCTATCTGTATGTGAACTGACAACACATGTACAGTGACCAGCCACCGATGGACTTGGAAGAGACAAATTGGTCACTGATCACTTGCACATTTGAAGAGCTAGCAACTGAGTTTGTACTTTATGCAATTATAGCAAATATATTGTGGTAACTGAAATTTGAACTGTGTTTTGGGGGAACAGGTGTATTTAACTGGACTGTGGTAACTGAAATTCAAGCAATTCATAAGTATCAAAACCATGCACAGCAAGGTCAATCAGTAGTTTAAAGTATAAATTTGGAGCCAGATTTCTAGACATAAATCTCAACTCTACCACTTACTACTTATATGACATTAGGTAACTCATTTGATCTTTCTGGGTTTCAGGTTTTTTTTCATCACTAAAGGGGAGATAATAGTACAAACCTCAGAGTTATTATGAGGACTAAATATACATAGAATGTTTCCGAACACTAAATGTTTTAGCTATTACTACCATAGCTTCTACTACAAATACTTATATGACATTGTCTATACTCCCATTGTCCAATAAGCTAGCTACTAGGCACATGGGGCTATTTCAATTTAAATTAATTAAAGTCAAATAAAAATTAAAAATTCAACTCCTCAGTAATACTAGCTACACTTTAAATCCTCAACAGCTACATTTCCATCTTTACAGAAGTTCTATAGGACAGTCCTATTCTATACTCTTGGAATAGGTAAAAAAAAAAAAAAAAAGAACTGGATATGCAAATTTGATATAAATAATGTCATCACTTCATCACTTGCTTGAAATCAAGAGAAAATTTTTAAGTTAAAGGCAAATCTGTGAAACACATGTCAGTGAAAATAAAAGGATTTCAATGAAAGGCTTCAGCACTGGTAAATTCTTAATAAAATGGACTAATTTCTTATAGTTAACATTATACATTAAAAATTAATGTATAGTGAGAAAAGTTGCCCAAATTTTAAAAACTTTCATTTAAAATAACTCAAGAAAAATGCATATTAATTCATATATGATTATACACAAAATTAAAGCATTAATAATAACCTAAGTAAACTACACTATGCTCATACTCATCAATCCTTCCTTCCTTTCCAAAGAAAAGAAACTAAATTTTCTGTAGTAGTTCTATAATTGTTCTTTTGATCTCCCAGTTGCATAGCTTTTGAAGTCTTGGGTAACTATGGCATACCTCTTTAGACGGAGAACATAAGTTTGCAAGGCTGGAGCCATGCCTCTTTCAGCTGTGCACCCCACACTGGACTGAGCAGGGTTATGTCTACACAACCAGTCTTAAATAAATGTTGGTCAAATTGAATTAGCAAAACTATATCAGAAGATAGTAAACATCAACATCAAGTTGATAAAAATGATTCTGGAAAAAAGGTACTATTATAAAGAATATACTTTAAGAAAAAATTTATACCAGAAAGCCTTGAAAGAGAGTCTCATAAAGAAGTAACCATTTATGCTATGCAGAACTTCATTCAAAAAGAACTTCAGTAGAAAGTTAGTATGACACATTTCTAAAAAAGGTTTGTGGTTATAATGGAATAGAAGTAAAATGATTTCCCTTACAAATTTTACACAAGTCCGAAGGGAAAATTTCCTAAACTACTCCTTAAAAGAAAAAAACAAAACAAAAAAAAAACAACACACTATGCTAAACCTAACACTTAAAACGGATCTTAATTTTTTCAAAATCTTATATTCGTATTTATTGTGTTTTGCTAATGAATTGGATAAGGAGACTTTAATTTCGTTTCGGTACAGTCCTA